TCAGGAAGATTACTCTCTGTGAAGAACTTATTTGACATGTCACTTGTAAATAATCCATATAGGTTGACTCAGTTTATTTGATAATAGATCTTTAACGACAGTTTTATCATTTGGCTTTCAGTGAATGATGAAACAAAATAATTTTTTTTTGCCTGTAAGGTGTGACATTCTCTGATCTCTTGTTATTATAATTAACTCTTTCAAACAGTTTGTTATTATATTGGGTTGAAACATAAGTAATGGGCATTTTTGTAATTTAAATTTTCTTGTTTTAACAATAAATTAGTCAGTAATATCCAAGTTTTTGGACTTTCCCCATAGACCCAAGATGCTGAACTATAGGCATTTGGCTACAAACCATTCGTTCAGCTGATTCTCGAGTGGTTTGACGTGCGTCTTTGTGCAGAAGTTAATTCAAACGCTCTACATCAAACTCATTTGGTTGTCTAGAACGAGCAGTCACATTTTAATTTGGCAAGCCAATTTCTAGCAGTTCGTTCAGGCATTGCACCTTCTCCATACACTTCACAAATCTCTCGGGCAGTTTCTGGAGCATTGCCGCCTCGATTAGATGCAAAAAGAAGAATGTGTCGAAAATGCTTATTTTTGTCGACTTGACACTCCATTTTAATGATCTCTGAAAAAAAAAAAATAAATAAATAAAAATAAAAAAAATAAAAAATAAAATAAAATAAAATAAATAAATAAATAGCTCAGACAAAAAAATCAAATATGCCATCTTGTAGAGAGAAAGATTCTCTTTCAAATAACACAAAACATTATGCCAATATATTTTATTTTTACTGCATAATTTTAAACACAACATAAACGGTTATTATGTTTCAACCCAATATATATTTCTTTGATTCTAAGAAACCCCTGCCCCCCCCCAAGACCCCAATTTTAGAATGCATCTCATCATCTCATCTTAATTGATGAGATGCATTCTAAATTAAGATGAGATTCATCAATTAAGATGAGATGCATTCTAAAATTACAAATAAATGATTTAAATAGCTGTTGTTTTTGACAAATTGTAGTCAATTAATAATTTATTTCAAACATTACTTTGAAATGAGACCTCTTTCTGTTGGTGGTACTGAAATTAAGGGGCGTATTAGAACTAAAGAAATGTAGTGTATATTTTCAAAAATTAAATTTCTCGAAATAATTTATTATAAAAAGAATGCATGCATTAAGAGTTCAAATTAGAATCAATATTAGAATAAGTGAAATTAATTTATTTACATAAATTTATTGAGGTATTAAAATTGAGAAAGTGGTTTGGAACAATTTTAAGATTATTGAAACATAATTTGTTTTACTAACATACTACAATTTGTTTAATCTTTGAATTATAATCCGAGTTGTTTAAAGTTAAAATAGAAATATCTGAAAATGTAAAACTTATAAATAATGAATGTGTCTTCTTTTTTTTTTTTTTTTTGTTTTGTTGATATAAGCTAGTCACAGTATATATATATATATATATATCTGTATGACATACCTAGCCACAGTATATATACATATATATGTATCCATTCTGGTTATTCTTACATTGCATTACTCTTATATTGCTTTTAATTGACAAAATGCATCTCATATCATCAGTAATATATTTTTTTTGTCACAGATTTAATTGTTTACTATTTTTTAGTAAAAGTAAGAAAGAAATTTATTTAGATTCCTTTTTAAAATTACAATCATTTTGTTTTTAGACTGACTCATTCTGTGCAATACTTGTATTTTATTTTGATAATGCTTACCCCTAACATTTTCATAATTATTGTAAATATGAAATAGATTTTAGGCTAAATGTATTTAACATTACTGAAGGTTAATAAATGCCTTAAAGATGTGAAAAGTAGACATCAAAATTCGTCCCAATGTGTTAGTTAATTTTTTTTTTGTATTTTATTTTGTAAATATTATCATAATTATTAATTTGTAATAGAAATGTAGTATATGGATAATTGTAATTGTTGAGTGAAGTGGAACATTATCTGTTACTGCAAGCATTTCAATATCTACAAAACATCACTAATTTTCATCTTATTTTATTTATGATTTTGGCTATTGTTTTTTACCATGTATTTTAACTACTCGCATTTTGTTCATTATTGCAGCTTTTTATATAAATCAAACTGTCACTTAACCCGAGAGAACACACACTTCATTTTTGTACATGAAGATGGGGTATATTTGACCCTGCTATCAATATAACCTTTTCTGAAAATATTACAGCTTGAAGTATGTTTTGTAGAATATAGCTAGATTAATTTTTTTTTTCTTTTTCATTCCAAATACTCAAATAATTAATTATCCAAAAAATTTGATACAAATATGAAATTGCTCAAATTATTTATCATATTTATGTGTATATTTATATTAAAATAAAATAAATTAATGATAATTTTATTACTTTTCTGCATTAAAATATAATTACTTCTAGATTATTTTATAATTATTTGATTAGATATTTTCTTTTTTCTATTCATGAATGATTTATTACTCACATGTCTTCTAAAGTAATCTTATAATATATACATCAAAATTAATCTAAAATTCTATAAAATTTTAATATTATAAAAAAACTATAAATATGTTATAAAATATTATCAATATATATACTGATAAATTGTAACATTTTGTTTCAATGAAAAGGCACAATTTTGCCCATTTTCACTTTGTATTCAAAACTGACCATGTTTTGTTATTGGAAAGTAAGCATTGGTGATAAGTAAATCCACTGCAAAATTCTGAATGCCAGTTTAATAAATTTGAATTTGTACAAGAGGGTGCACATAGTATAAATATGGCTCCAAATAATATTTAAAGTAATTATTTAGCAAAAAGGAAACTAGAAATTTGAAACCTGATCTAAAATAAATGAAGAACATGACCTTGATAAAAACTTTTGAAGAAATAAAGTGATAGTTAATCATGGTTTAAGAGGAGCATTCCATTTTATGGATGTGAGGTCAAACAGATCCCTTAGGGATGCTCAGTGGTTTATGTTTTTAAATACTGAATAATACTATATCAGTGCATTTATAGTATCTTTTGTTGTTAAAATACCTTAAAGATCCATAGTAATTTTATTGAAGGGACATTTCATACCTTATACTGAAAACTAGTTACTATAAAAATGAAAGTAATATGCTGAAAGGTTTTAGAAAAGGTTTAAAAAATTTTATGTATGTATTTTGAGTATGTAAAGTGCAGCTTTACTCTTGGCATAAAAAATTATTTTCCTTTTGTTTAGTTTATTCTGCCCCTCAATCAAAACCAAGCTGAAGCTTATGCACCTTGCCTTACTTAATTAATTCAGTTCTTGACATCTTTGAATTATGATTTAGTTTGCATTGTGTCTTTTATCATTTAACAAAATTGTAGGGGGTAGGAGTATGAAATACTGATTGTAGGAAATGAGTGATTGCTGCATTCAGTATTTCAACCCTAATTTCATTGTTGTTATTTTGACAAAATAGCAATAATTTGTTTTTCTGTAGTCTGTTTATTCTAATACTGTTTTTAAAAACCAAATATGATTTATTTATGAATTTAATTTTTGTATTATGATTTTATTGACTGTTCCTTCCTTTAAAGAAATAACTTTGAAAGCTTGTTTTGTAAAATGGGATGTTTGAGAATGCTATAAAACCAGGAAAAGCATTATATATGGCACATGTCACCAATTTTATCTCTAATGTTCTGTTCAAAGAAATAATTGGAGATATATTTTATTAAAAATTTCTTTTTGAATATGTTTATTTCACAAAATGCTCATAATTCACCAAATCAAATTATTTCACTTTTTTGAACCTAGAATTGAACACCATTGTTTTTTTTTACGTCTTATATGATTCTTTTTCATGTTTAATTAATTATTATTTTTTTGCATTTAATCTCTTAATTATGTTTACTGCATTGCATAGTCTCTGTATATATTAAAAGGGACCGCATAGAATTGTGCTACAGGTGTAGGTGCTTGTTGAATTTTGAACTTGAAATGATTTCCTATTTATTGTTTGCTGGTAAAAAAAATTAAACTAGTTTAAGTGCCAATTTATTATATTGCTTATATATTATATACTTTGTTTTAGCTTTATATGTTCCTTTTTGCCTTGCGAGTGTAGGCTTATGATTTTGATGGGCAAATGCTAGTCTTATTCTGGTTAGTAATCATAAAACTATCAGTAGTCAATTCAGCTGATATAGGTGAGGATATTAAGTGTGTAAGTAATATGCTTATCGATATTGCTTTGGCATTTTCTAAATTTTGAGATTGGTGATTGTGTGTTTTGTAAATCATGCTTATATTTCTGTATATTATGCAGTTAATTTTCCTTCTCTGCCTCTGATTCATGAAGTGAAGGTGAAATATTCCACGAAGCAATGCTGGGTACTTGTCTTATGTAGTGGCCTTAGCATTGGAAAACAAGATTTGCACAATTTGAGTGTAAGAAAGTATTTTGTTGCCAGATTTGTAAACATCCATAGACTGACTATAAAAAATGATAAATCAGCAATTCATTCAATATCTATGTAAGTTATTTAATCTACCTCTCTCTCTATATATAGAAGGAAGTTAATATAAATTTATATTTATTATAGTATTTAATACAATTCATTTAAAATAATAACATAATTCACCAGAACTTATTTAATATATTCAGTAAATAATTAATACAATTATGCAAGCAATTTATTTAAAATAGCATATATGGACAGGCCAAAACATTTTATGTTTTATTAAATATACTGGAATACATATTTTGCTAGGAATTTATTAAAAAAATAAATACAGTACAAAGTTTGAAATCTGGATGGCGATTCCGGATTTGGGATTTTTACGGATATTAGATCATCAGTTTAAATCTAGTAAGATGGCATGTAGGAATTATAAAATGAAAAATATGAAATCATGATTTATGAAATAATGAAGTATTTATGATCTAAAAGGTATCAAAGTTTACAAAAAAAAAAAAAAAAAAAAAAGCTTAATATTTATTTGTTTACCTTTTTAAGCATTTTTTTCAATGTAAGTTGTTTAAGTTGCTTCGTCTAATACTTTATCTTTAATTCTGTAGACAGACATAATCTCTTGTTCAGTTACATAGCTGAAATCCTATAACTACTATTTTGAGAATTCCGACTAACTTGTCAATCGAAATTTTCTCGTTTTCAATAACTTCTCTGTCATTTTCTTCACTGTCGGTAGTGGTATTTTCTGGATTTATAACCATACTACATATTTTGCCACTCATTAATTGATTGAAGATTGAGAAGCATTGTCATCACAATAAAAGACTTTTATATCGCTTTCATTTATTACCACTTCTCCACATTTCTTTACAAAATCTGTTAATTGGAAAATTTCACCTTTGTTTAGCGATATCCAAAAACATTTAAAATTAGCGGCTATCATCATCAAATTTAGCTATATTTCATTATACATATTTAGCTATGCATCATGAGCTTGGCGACTAACGACAAGTTGTTCTGCTAAATTTTATCTTGTGTCTATCGCAGACTCAGACAAATAAGCCTGAAATATATTAGTTATTTATTATACTTATGTCTAATTCTTGCACATGCTTAAGTGTTATGTAAGTCCTGAATAAATAAATTCGCACATATACTTAAGGCTTATGGAGGGCTGGCACTAGATATCTTACTGCCTCATGCAGTCTCTGCGGGTCCTAAATTCTGCTACCAAGCGTCTTCCTTTGTCATCTCTAAATTCTGCCACCTGTTTCTGGCTTTATGTGAATAAGGAATTAGTTATTCATAATTCAAAGAGCACTAAATGTAATCTTTTGGCCTATGAGTATCATAAACAAAATCCATTTTTAGCATATGGAAAGAAATTTTTCCTGTCAACATTACTTAGCACAGTTAACTTAAATCATTTGTAATCATCACCAAGCATAATGTCAACATACAAGGTTACCATACTCTTCCTTATTCAATTACTAACATAAAAAAAAAAAAAAAAGTGTTTAGGCATCGCTATATGAGTCATTAGTCAAGTTGTAATGTGTTGATAAACATGGCTGATGCCAAGCTGGCGAAGCAAAATATAATAAATAATGATTCGCCAGCTTGGCATCAGGCATATAAGATATTAGTAAGTTTAAATTCAACGATGTATCTATGTAGAATGTTTTGCTTTCAGATGTAAGCCAAGCAGGCAATTTGGCAGCTACAGAGCCAAGTTATTGATGATACAAATTTATGCTAAAATGATTTGTTTCTTCAATAACAAGATATTTTATTTAGTGTCAAAGTGAAATTAAGAATCGGGACCGTCCAGATGTTTTATTATGCGCAGAGAAGGGAATGAAATGCGCATGCGTAAAGCCTAGGAGAAAAACGTTGTTGGTGGTTTTGAGGTCCGGATTTTAGATCATTCCGGATAATGTACATCTGGATTTCCGACTTTGTCCTGTATAATAGAAAATTCATATTTTACTGACACTTTCTGTCAGCCGTATTTAAGCAATTGCTACTAATAAAGCCTCAAACATAGCTTCATTTTCCATTCATGGAAGATTGAATATAATAAACATAATATGTATTTTACAGTGAAAAACTGTGGTATTAGCACAATGCAATTATGAAAAACAAGATAACTTTTTTTTTTCCCTCTCGCATGTTCAAACAGGCAACTCTTCTTCTTGCACCTGACAGATTAGTAAACGTTTGTTTCTTGCTAGTCTAGGTGAAAGGTGCCAGATCTATTTTTCATCCAGACTGCTGCAGAAGGCAAGTACCCAGCGCTGAGCAACAAATTTAAAATGATGCATATTACAATTGCTTCTTCTTTTTACAGTGGAGATATAAATACCAATAGTATGAAATGTATGTATGAAGTGTTTATATTTTACTCCTAAGTTTTCTTTTACTTTGTAAGTACTGATATAAATTTAAAAACTGAAATCCAGACTGTAATGTTAATAGGTGCAGCTAAGTCAATTATCTCTTAAACATTACTTTTTGAATAATTAATTTCTTAAATGAACAGATTAGTGACTGTTTTAAAATTTATATTAAAAATGTATGAATTAAATGAGAATTTTAGAAATGTATCGAAAATTACTATATAGGTAAAACTTTAAGCATAAGTTATCTGATTATTATATGGGAACATCTGTCTTGAATACACTTTTGTGGTTGACATACTACTCAGAAAATATCTTAGTCAGATAAAATATATGCTTTTGAAGATTCTAGAAGCAGTTTATCCTTGGTTATGTCATGTTTTGTGCTTCTTGGAAAAAAATATGTAATAAAAATCTGCATGTATGTATGGGATTGTTTAAAAAAATTGATCTAATTTCAGGTAGCTTTATTTTTAAATTTACAAGCAAAGGGTGACATTTAATACATAAAATGAAAGGAAAAACTGTGCAGCTTTTATTGAGACATATTTAATGTGATTCCCTTTATTAGCAAAATAACATAAAAAAGTACACAAGCAATATAAAAAAATAATTAAATTTATGTTGTATTTTTGCACATCTAAAATTGGTTATTTTTAATTATGCATATCTGAAGTTGTTCATTTTTAATTATCTTGTGTTCCATATTAACTGTTACGTATATGTTTTTCTTTGAACAAGTTGCAGTGTTCACCAGATTTTAATTCACTTATTGTGGTGTAGTTTTTCTTTTCTTTTCTTTTTTTTTTTTTTGAAAAAAGGGGGGGGGGTAATTTCTGCATAATTTCTTTTGTTTTTAATTTGCTGTTTTGAAATTTTTAGCTTATTTAAATTATTTTATTTATTCTGTTATTACATAGTATGTGATTAACACGAAAATTCATTCCCCTTCTTGCTCAGTTTAATGTATAAAAGCATATTTAAAATATAAAGAATTATATGCACTTAGGCAAACGAGTGTTAATATTTTTAATATGATATTAGCAGAGTACATTTTCTATATCCTAAGTAATTCAAAATATTTCAGAAACATTTTGTATTTGTATATAATCATTTTTCTTAAAATAGCTGAAATTTTTATAAAATTTGCTGTATTGAAATTAGTACATAATAACGTGTACAAGTTCATATATATTTTCCATAAAAATATGCATTAATGCTAACGCTATGTTACAATGTCAAAAAAGGATTTTTGTGATTTTCCATCTTTGATTATATTATAAATCTAATATTGAAAAAGTAATTCTGTTCCCTTTTTTTAAAGTTTTAATGCTTTATTTAGTTTTATTTCATCCCCCCCCCCTCTGTGTATATCAAAATGGAAAACATGGAACTTGAGAATAACATACTGTCAAGGTTTGAGTACATTTTGAGGTGTTAAAATTTTATAATCATCTTATGAAATGGAATAAAATACCAGAATTTTTTTTACTTTGTATTTCTTTATCTAGTGAAATCTTATTGTTCAAGAAAGCTAGTATAATCTCCATTTTGTATTTTAGTAGAATTAAAATTTTATTTTTATCTGTTGTCTTTATCTTCTAGTTCCTGCGAACATTTTCTACAACTGATCATTTATATATTTTCTAGAAATACATATTTTATGTTTAGAATTTTTTAATAAAGAGGGTAAAATTATTTATTCTTTACTATATTATATTTGCATATAAAAGGCTTAAACCTTTTGTTGTTATAATTTTGGCTGTATTTTTCTTTTAGTTGCAAATGCGTGAAGTGTAATATAAAAATTTAATGTACACATAAAATGGCATGAGGAATTATTTGTATGATATTTTAAGTAAAATCTAATGCTAGATGGATATATGCTGATCAATTCAAAAATAATTTCACATGGAATTTAGTGTACTAGATTCTGGCTTGTTATGCAAAAAAGCGCATTTTAAATGGAAGGAAATTCTGTACTTTTTTACTCTGTTTATAGAAAAGTTTTATATCGGTATTTTGTTGTTTATAAGTGGAAAGATTATTTGTTCATATTTTATTGCTGAAAGCTGAACAGGTATGTGTAATGTGAATATCTTTACGTTAATGGGCTTAACAATGGAATTTGAATATTATACAATCTTTTTGATTTGATATAGTTTAAGTGTACTTGTAATGCATATTTGATGAAAGTGTTTCTGACGGAATTTACCTTAGGTACCATTTAGTGTGTTCAATGTTAATGATACTTGATATAATATTTTTTTACTATTAAATCTGTCCACAGTATGTGCAATATTTTCAGTGTACATTAAAACTTCATTCATTTAAAGATTTTCATTAAATGCTGCTTAATGTTATCATTCGGATATTATTATCGAGTAAAATATGTCATGTATTGTGATCAACAGCAGTTCAGTTAATATGATCAAACTGTTGTCAAATTGATCTTTTGAATCATGTTGCCAAGTGTTCAAACAGCATGTTTTCGATTTTAGTCAACCATTTAAAATAAGGCAAAAAAGCAACCTCAGGTTTGAGTTAGATTTTGAATAATTCTATTGATTTTGAAGATGAATAGACATACATCCTGTTTTTCAGGAGTGAAAAAAAATTCTGAAGATCCCCCCCAAAAATTTCTGAAGATTGAATTTGTGCCAAACTAAGGTTGCTTTTTTAGCTAACTTTAAATTTTACATTTGCATAATTTCTTCCAGTGAATGAGAGATATCCTTCAAGTATTATGATTAGGGGTACAGTATTAGTCAAATAATTTCCAGAAATGTTATGAACATTTCATAAATGAACTTTTGCATTAAAGATTTTATAAACAGTTCATACATAAAGATTTGCATTTCTGTAATTAAAATTCTGGGAACGTCTTCAGTTACTAAAGCTCTTGTTTTAGTGCTGTTTTGAAGGATATTTTTTGATAACATTTATCAAAATAGCAGTGGACATATGTGATCACAATTGAGTGGCATCATTTGTATAAAATTTTAAGCCTAGTAATCATGAGTTTTAAATATAGGTTTAAAAGAAAAAAAGAACTGAATGAGAATTTGATAATTTTGAAATTGCCGATCTGAGTATCTTTTTAATGGGTAAAAGTGAACAAAATGTATTCATAGTCTGTATTATGCATGGCATATAATATTTATGAATTTAACAATTTCATAAATCATACTATCATATTCATTACTGGTATCTACTTCGTATGTAAGATTCAAGCTCTTGTAAAACATATTTCAATTAAATGTTATGCACAAATGTATATTTTATGGTTCATGAAAACATATTCATTAGATTCTGTACTATTTAAATTATTGCAGATATGCTGAAACTGAGAGCATTGAGGTACTAGAATATGATATTTCAACAGATTCGTATGAATTCAAGTGAAAGCTCAGTGCTACAATAGCCATTAGTTGCAAGATGTACACATATATCAACTTTTAAGGGAGGGAAATCTGTCATTCAGTTTTAGTAATAGAAATATTTCATGTCTTATAATAAAGATATCATTTTTAATCTATTAAAACAAATCAAAATTTCAAATTTATTTCAATGTAATGATGCTTAATTCATGTTAATCTCTTTAAATATTAGTTCAAGTATACAGGTTTAAACTTGAAAATATAAAAAATTATAAAGAATTGCAATGACATAATTTTCGGTTTTCTTTTCCATGGTTTTAGAAAGTTTAAGAAATTGTTTGAATCAAAAATCCTGTTATATTAAAATTATTCAGGTGAAAAATAAATATTATTATTTGTACTGTATTTCAGAAAGTGAAAAACTTATAAATGTTTTACTTAGAAATATGTATTTTACAGGAATGCAGTAGCTTTTTATTTATTATTCTCCGTACCTAGACAGTATTTTAAAATACACTTTTATTGAATCTGTCCTCATTGATTGCTTTATGCACATTGGAACTGTTTTCAGATGGTTGACAGAAATTCATGTCTTTTTACGTGTGTAATGGGTGTAAATTTGTGCCAGCCATTTTTTAATCATATATTTTCAATCCCTTATATTAGTTTGACTTAAATGTATTCTCATTATTTTCAGATAATTTAAGTGTGATAAAATTTAAAATATTATTAATGAATAACTTTTAAAGCATTTATTATTTTTCATCAAATTGTATTTTAAACAATTTTTCATTACTGAAAAACACATGCATTGCTGCCAATGCTACCTGTATGTATGTTGGCATAGAGTGGCTAAGTCTGAGGTGAAGTTATTCATTTACCTAAGTTAAAATATGTTATCTAAATTTAATGATTTATATGTATATAAATAAGCGGTGACTGATTGTACAGTCTGATGTAGATAATTGTACACTTTGGCAGGTTTTTTAGCGGACATGATTAACTGTTTTTAAATGTACAGATTTGACGACAAATTGCAACTACAAAGTAACATCCAGCAGTGCCAAGGAATTTGTTGCAGTGTCTGTGATTATTCCATGTTATGATTCTTCAAAGTCAAGTGTTTTGAAAGTTCCTGTGTGAATTCCCCTCCCCCTAATTTGGATTGGGTCTGTGGTATTTGTTTTCAGCTATTTTTGTGAAGAATGTGCTTGCCTTGTCAAAATATAATGTGGTGTTTTTTGCATCTCGAAGCAATGTAGATATTGTTATGCATCTGCTGACTATTGTTAGAACTGTACATTGCTATTTATTGGTTTATTAGGTTATAAATAAAAAAGTCAAATGATACAATTCTTTTTCATAAAAATAGTTACTATTTCTTTGCCTTTCTTTTTAAGTGTATTATATATATATTAATTTTTGATACTGATATTTTCAAAAAATGAGTATTTCCTTCATTTATTCGAAAAAATAAATTCAGTATTTGAAAAAATATCTTCCAGTAAACTTAAATATTGCAACACACTTTAAAGATACAAATTTCGTTTCGACACTTTAGGAAAACACTTATACAGTGGAACGTCGAGATACAAGCTTAATTCGTTCCAGCATTGAGCTCGTATAGTGAATTTCACATATCTAGAAACAAACTTCCCCATTGAAAATAATGGAAATCCAGTTAACACATTCCACACACCCAAAAATATCAACATAAAAATCAATTTTTCTAATTATTAACACTGGTAAATAATATAACCGTAGTTTACCTTGGTTAGCTTTTATAAATTTTACCTTTATAATAACTACCAACACCGAATTTCCTTTTAACTGCTTCTCAACATCATTTAAGAGTTTTAGGTGCTTGGCAGTGACGGTAACTCCTTTGGCTACATTAAGTTTCTTAATTTTTTCCTTCTTCAGAATAGTACAGATCATCGATGTCGAACGGCCGTAAGTCTTCGCCAATTCTGTTACTCTTACATCATGCTTATGTTTATCTATGATTTCTTTCTTAATTTCAACGGTTATGGCTTCCTTCTTTTTCTTTGCAGGACTATCTGAGGCAACAATCTTTTTGGGAGCCATTGTAAAATAATCATTTTCACATTAAATGTAAAAAACAATTAACTCACAAGCGGACAAACACATAGATCAAAGAAAACTGAGTGATCTGACGAGGGGATACTGAGTCGAGCCGGATCGGGAAATGGAGCCACTCGTACCAACAGCCTGCGGGTCCTTGCTCGTTACTTGGGTCGATGCTCATATTTAGAGATGAATTTTTCGATTGTACTTTCTTTGTATCTCGAATTTCTCATATATAGATAGAGGTGCTCTTATCTTGAGGTTCCACTGTAAATAAACTGATCTCAAGCTGGATTAACCATTAAGCAAAATAGGCACATGCTTGGGGCACCAATGCTACAGAAAGATTGTTAGGGACCCAGGAAAAGGGGATAACACAAAAATTTCCTGCTACCAGTTTTACCGTGAAATGCTAATGAAAAGCTAATCCAGACAGAGAAAAGCTGATTTAGCTGACTGAGAGGTCAGTTAAAAATCAAGATAGAGAGAAAAGGAATAAAGAACATTTGGCTAAAGTAAGTGGCCTTGATTGATCTTATTTAAAACAAAACAAATATGGTGCAAATTTCGAAATTTGGCATCATTGGGAGGTTGGGGATTCTAATTTTGGAAATTTCAGGACAATAGATCATTTTAAATTTAGTAAGTTGACATGTATAAATCATAATTTACACAACATAATAATGAGGCATTTATGACATTAAGGGAATTAAAATTTACAAAAAATAAGATTTTTTTGTCTTAATAGACATTTTTTACACTATAGGTTATTTAAGCTGTTTGTTTTTTGTGCTGATACTGCCTCTTTAATTTTATATACAGATGTAATTTCTTGTTCAGTTCAAAATCCCATTGCTCAAGTCCTGTAACTGCTCTCAAGTATTCTTGTTAAACTGTCGGTCGAAATCTTTTCTTTCTAAACAATAACTTGATTACTTTCTTCATTATAATTTCTAGATTTGAAATCATGTTAAAGATTTCTGCGGATTTTTATCTTCTCTTTGGCATATGATTTCAAGTCTGAGATCCGAACCTCCAACATCCGGAATGATCTAAAATCCAGACCTTAACCTCTCGAAGCCGGCTGGTACAGCAGTTGTACCAGGAGAATGAATTTCTCAGACGCCGGCATTGCTACAACTGTCGTACCATCCATGCCCTCCCCATTTTAGAGAATCTCCTATCTGTAGATCTTTGGGTGGTCCATTGTCGCTGCTCAGAGTAGCCGCTGGCTACGTAGTATTTCCCTCTTCTTATCAGTTTGGCAAAAACCGCAGTTTTCGTCTCGCGCCAATATACTTGAAAATTAAATAGAGGCCATCTCTTTCTCAATCTGTCTCATAATTTTAATGCTAATTTTTTTAGTACTGACTTTTGCTATGATTAAAACGTCAGCGATTTTGCACGCTCTTTAAGCTTACTATATTTAATGTTTTTTAATCATAACAAATAAGAATAGATTAATATTTTAGAAAAAAAACCGCTTTTATCATTTACTTCCTTTTCATACTTATGAATAATAAGATTTTATTTTGACATTTTTTTGTGGAGTGCATAAAACCCTTAAGAACTGTTAACTCTTTCAAATTGCTTCTATTATGCAGGCAATAAATAAGAGACAATTGTATGCATAATAGTTTTTGTGATTTTCATTCATTCAGTGATTGCTTTCAATGATTTTCATTGATTGTAAATTAAATAAAATCAATTTATCTTTAAACCCTCTTTTAGGATAAGATCTGCCAAAGAGTATTTAAATATCAGTAAAGCTCACGTTACTTCTAAATTGAATCAAAACATCAGTTACATTTTATAAAATTTCGGCCAGTTTTATTTGCTGAAATTCTTATACTCCTCAAGAGATAAAGAGAATTCAAACAAGTTGATAAAACAAAATATCTTTAAAAAAGGTTGTTATTTTATCTGTAATAAGGTGTATGTCAACTTACTATATTAAATGTATGAAAATTAGGATTGGATTACGGAAAAGCACGCGAAACGCTATCTGCTTAAGGGATGGATGCTTTCGTGTAAACCTTTTTAAGAGAAAATTGCTCGCATTTACATTCCTGGTGGAAAACTCCACATGTAATCAACCCGTTCTTCGGTATTGATTGGATTAATTTTGTTCGCTTACTGAATTACATCAAAGCACACAACAATTACCTGTATAAGGGGAGTTATGCCTTCGCGGAGGACTTTCTAAGAGAAGCTGGCTTGCATTTACGTTACACAAAAACCATGAATCCAACTATTTTAGCCGGGATTCAAACCCAAGCGAGCTACAAGTGTTCAGCCACCTTTACCGCTCTACTGAAGAGCCCGTAAAAATATTGATAAAGGAAAAGTATTGAAATAACCGGTTTAATTTACTAACCTATATTTCTCAATCGACAGTACATAAATTACGCATATGAGGGGGATTATTTGTGAATAAATAAACTGTATTGCACTTTTCTCCACTATTTCATATTACAATGGAATTATTGCATTTCAAAGTTATTTCTCATGAATTAATTTTGCTCTTTATGATTCTTGATATTTTCAAAGAGAAAATTCCACACTTTAAATAAAAAAATACACGAGAAGATACTTTATGCAAAATTTGGCGTAAACGGTTTTCTTAATTTTGCTTTGAAAATATTCCAGGGTAATCATTTTCATTACTGGAAGAAATATGAAAAACAGATTTACTACATTGTGTCAACACCCAATATTTCCTTATTCTTTTGAAAACGTGAAAGATTACTCTTTCTAAAATAAATCAGAAAATATATTATGTGCAAATAGAATATTCGTTGAAAATGAAATAGACTTCAACTTTTGGATATAACGATGGTTTTAGACGAAATTTCTACCTATGAAAAGAAATTGACGTATAATTAATTCTTCATGAACATTTAAAACTGTTCTCAAAATTCTTTTGATGATTGCATGTATAAGTCACGGAATTTTTTTCTCGGCTAACATAAACAAAAGCCAATTTTACAAAGAAAAATTCTCGTTAAAGATATACCTTCTTTGCCTGATAGTCCAATGTAATATTTGTTAAAGTTAAATGATTAAACGCAACCAATGTATCTCGGATTTTGATTTTTATATTATAATAACAAAATTATCGAAAAAAGCAGATTTAAATCTCTGTTATTGTTATGTAAAGCTTTATTATTGCTGTAAGTTCATCTCAAAATCTAATTGTATTGAATCTCATTTTAATCATCTAATGGTAATAAATATTATTTCATTAAATTAGTCATTACCATTATTTTATTAATGAAAATATGTTATTAAAAATTGCATTCCAGCCTGCAGACTTACAAATCTAGTTCGTATTTACTATATTTTGTTAAATTTTGTTCTCGCTTTCTAATTTCTAATACGAAAATACGCGAATATAAATGAAGAGTGAAAACAAATTTAAAAATTCACAAATTATTAACGAGATTGATTAGAAATAGTGAGTGAAATATAAACATTGCATACATTTTGTTCTAAATAAAGTGTGCACTGGATATGCATCCAGTACTGCATATTTATATTATTTAGAAACTTCATTTAAAATGAAAGCAAAATAATCATCGAAAAAATTGCAAATCTAGCAACCCCTCTACTATGGGACGTAAGCGTCTGACAAACATGTAAATTTTACTTCATCCATGGAGGGGAACTAACGACTTTTCTCATTAGGAAAATGTCAAAAAGGGGGCAAAATTGTTTCGGATCGCGCCGGTCTGAAGGTTATATTATGAGAATTTCGGCCCGGTTTTAGAAGGTTAAAGCCACCAATAAAAATTTGCTTAGCAATATGCTTTATGCATGCGTATTTGATTTTTAACCCCCCATAAGAAAGCATGTGGAGAATCTCGATTCTTAATTTCACTTCAGTACCAAATAAAATACCTAATTATTGAAGAAACAATTATTTTAGCATAAATTTGTGCGATCAATAATTTGGCTCCATAGTTGAATATCTCCTTTTTCGATTGATGGATTTTGTAAAGAAATGTGGAGAAGTGGTAATAAGTGAAGATGATATAACAGAAGTTTTTCATTGTGATGGCAATGTTCCAATCATCAGTCAATTAGCGAACGATTAAATCTGTAGTATGATTCTAGATTTAGAAAATACCGTTACTGATAATGAAGAAAGTAACGAGAGGATATTGAAAACAAAAAATTTCGATTGACAAGTTAGTCAGAATTCTTGATGCAGCAACTACAGGACTTGAACAGTGGAACCTTGTAACTGAACAAGAAATTATGTCTGTCTACAGAATTTGA